TATCTAAACAATTCTACAACACCTCCTCTCACTTCATCATTAATCACACCTAAACATACCTCTATACTAATTAAAATTGGATCAATAAACATAAATGGTCTCTCTCAACCTAACAAAAAACTTTCCTTAATAGAACTATTACAAGAAAACAACTTTGAAATATTTGGACTCTCTGAAACACATTGTCTTTTAAAGAAGGAAAAATTTTTAGTAACCAAATTCAAAATTATACCAGTTTCTGAAGCTTATATACAAATCTTCACCAAGCTGATGTTGGCATATTTGTATACAAAAAAATCTCTAAATATATTGCCAAATCTCATGATTACAATGGACACATAATTGGACTCACTTTCACTTCAAAAATACATCTATCAGACTTCTTCAAGTATATTTTCCAACTTATATAAAAAAATAACTTCATAAAGAAATTCAAGACTACTTAATTTCCCTTATCCAAAATAACAAATATAAATTAATTATTATGGGAGATTTAAACAGTATCCCAAATCCAAGAATTAACAGATCTTCTTCAAAAAAATTATCTATTCCAGAAAGCCAAATAATTCAATACTTAATTAGCTTCCAATTTAAGGACATCTATCACTTCTTCTATTCTAATATATCAAACTTCACTTTTAGTCGAAACAACATACAAAGCCAAATCAATCAAATATGAACTAACTTATCTATCACTAATATTGACTACACAGAAATCCTCCCTATTGGTACAATTGAATATGATCATCAAATTATAACTTTTAAAATCTTCATTATAATCAATAAACCCAAACATCATAAACAATATAAATGTAAAGCCTTTCTTTGGAAAAACTGTACTAAAGAAAACCTTGAAAACTACAATGAACAAACTACCAAAAATCTTTACCATTTAACTTCAATAATTTCCACAATCTCTAACCAAAAGCAACTCAATACTACATGGAATAAAATTCATAAAACATTAATCAAAGCCTCTTTTAAACATATTCTTTTTAAAAAAATCAAAACAATTAAAGAAATTTATGACTCCCCAACACCAAAACATTCATCATTTTATTTCTGCTACAAAGAAATCCAATTTCTTAAAAATTATATGAACTTAATTAACTTTATTACATTACTTACCAACTACCAAACCAAATATCCAGATTGTATTTTCCAAACATTATCATCCTCACTAATCCAAGTTAAAGAAGAATTCCAAACTATCAAAACTGTACTCAACTACTAATATCAGCAATCAATCTATGATAAAATCAAAGAAAAAATAGAAGAACAAAACAAATCTTTTAAAGAAACATCTAAACTTTTCTATAAAAAAATACTAGAAAAATATAATAACATTCATATAGATAGATTACTTTTTAGCAATAACCTCCTCACAGAACATGAAGTTTGTATATAATAATTATTATATATAGATTAGAATTTAGTGCAACTTATTAATATACTTTGTAATACCTAGATTTGAGAGAGTGATAAATAAGCTTTTGTAGATTAGTTTTGACTTTGCATAAGTTATACAGAGTTCTCTTATTTTGTTAATAGATTACTTTTATATATTTACAATAGTTCTATATATAATATTATTATTAGTCAAAAATATATATAATAATAATCTATTAATAAATTATTACAATAAATATAATTACAAAATATTCATACATATATGATTATGAAGTATGTTAACAAAAATTTGCATGACAACATACAAGTATTATTACTGTACTTTTTAACACTATACTGATGCCCAAATTTTTATTTTTTCAATTTGCATTTTTGAACTTTGAACTAATTAAATATTTTAATAGCTTAGTTATATAAATGTTTAAAACTATTTTCAGATCTTATTAATTTGTAGAATTCAAAAATAGCAAGATTTCTTTATTCAAAATTTATATAAATACAATAAAAAGAAATTAGAAAATTTTATTCAATTAACTAACTAAAGATCTAGTAGATTAAAAATATTATATAGAAAAACTTTGAAAATATATTGATAATGCAATTTGATGACCATAGTAAGTTAAAGAATACAGTAAAGAAAATTGATGTTTTATAGTTTTTTATTTTTATTAGCATGGGATTTAATCATATTTATATTATATATTTTTTTTCACTTAAATGCATCTTTATTATATATTGTATTTTTTTAATAGCATTTGTAATTAGAATTTTTGAAATTTAGAAAAGTATAACCTAATCTTTTTTATAATATTTTGAATCAGAGTGAAGTCTAATTTTTTGCAATTACATTAATAATGAATATAATTGTAGCATCAGTGTAATATTAATGATTTTTTAATTTCATATTAAAGCTATAAATTGCAATAACTTGCTGCTTTTATTCATTGCATTTGTTCTGTAATTATATGTTTCAAAAAAATATAATAATAAAAATAACAAAAAAAACCTCCATCTATACATTTGCCATTATGGCTTATTCTTTTATACTTTTTAACCAATTTTGCTTGCATATTAGCATTTTAACTGTTTCTAAAATAAGAATCAATTAATATTCATTAATAATTCTTTTAATAATGCTAAAAGTCTAAAAATAAATTACAAGTTAGTTTATATTAAAAAAATTAAGAAGAATTTATATATGAGAGCCAGAAAAATAAAATAATTTCAAATAAAAGTCTTTAAATATAAATTCTTTAAAAATTAACTATAAATTATAAGTTTATTAACCAATTTAGAAGCTACTAATATTACTAAAATCACAAGAATATTTCTTGTTATTAATAAAACTAATAAGTATCTTTGCATATTTGCCTTCTATTAAACTAAAATATCAAACAGCTTTGAACAAAAACAAAAAAAAATAGGTTATTAAGATACTGCTTGAATTTATTTATCTTAATTTAATTATAACTATTAGTTTTAAGAAATGAATTGAATTTATGCATTTCTTCATCTTTAAAAATATTTGAAAAATTTTTTACTAATGCAGTATTAGAATTATTCTGATATTGCAAATATTTTGAATTATAAATTATTATTGCTCTTTAATAATAAAAATACACTACAATGAATACACATGTCTATATGTTTAGTTAATACTATAATTAATCTATTTCAAAATCACTCCAATCAAGTAATTACTAATTTTAATTTCTTTTCTTTATATAAAGTACAGAATAGTATTGACCAAGGAGAGATTATAACATCTCTCTTTTGGTGCATATACTATGATTCACTTATTAACAATATAAGCAAAAGATATACTGGTTATACCTCAACAACCAAATGAATCTCTCAACTCAACTTAATAAAATACCAATCAGCAACAACTTCAACATCAACCTTGGCATTTATGGATAATACATTATGGTTAGCTAAAACCAAAGAACAACTCCAAGAAATAATACAAACATCATCAATATTTTATTCCATGTTTTATATTAAAGTTAATTTATATAAATCTATTCTAATCTCTAATACAAAATCAACTTCAACCATCCACTTCATAAACTCTACAATACAAACATTACCTTGCTATACACCTTTTAAATTTTTAGGATATTGGTTCACAACTACTTCTAAATATACTATCCAAATTAAACTAATTAAACAAGAAGCACTAGAACTTAATAAAATACTTAAAACCAAAAATATAACTAATAAACAAGCAGCATATATTATTAATATAGTTATTATTTCTACTCTAGAATACTATATACATAATATAGTCTTACTATGCACAATATACAACTCTATTTTATCATAATACATTACTACTGCTAAACATAAATCCAAATTATCTACAACTATATCACATAGTATATTATTAAATCACAAAATATACAGTATCAAAAACATTTGAGATATACAAATTTAACACCATATCTCAAACTTTTTACTTTATATTAATGACCCTAACTTTATGGGCACAAGTACTCACATTAGACTTCAACAATTACAAAATAATTTATAGTAAACAACAAACATTCTACAGTCTTTCCTCTTTATAATGCCTTTCTTATAATTACAACCTTTATAAAATCATATAAATTTATGGTTCCAACTTTTTAAAATATAAAATTTCTCTTTATAAAAACAATATATATATAATCACTATTGCACTTTTTATTGTAACTGAATTATAAATATACATAATAAATTTCTCTTCATATAATCTTATAAAGTTATATATTAAAAGATTTACCAATCAAATTAAAGATCTTGACTTTGACTATGTACATAGTAAAGCCACAGAATAAATACTGTAGACAATAGAAAAAATACAAATCTATCAAAGTTGTATCTAAAAACTCAAGTGCTAGAATTATGTATTTTTTTTTATTATCTAGTTTTTTTTATTTTTTGTTTTTTTTATAATAAAACAAATAAGCTCTAACACAAAGATATATTAGAAACTCATGACCTAATATTAATTTGGTTTAGAAATATTAAACTATTATTGAGGAAAGAGATGATCTGCAATAAATAAATAGTTCTGCTTAGTTATTTTACTGAAAGTTCATTTAGCATGTTAGGGTTAAACATTTAATTAGTTTCAGATATATTTTACTAAAATATCATTGACATAATATCAGCTAAATGAGCCATTGGTGAAACAATTGTCAGTAAAGTAAGGTAAATTTGAGATAACAGAGCCATCCTTCATTATATGATGAGCAATAGCTAAAAAATAATATTCTTCTCAATTGAACAAAGGAACTCTAATACCTTCACATTGGCAAAATACATTATTACTTTCCTTATGCTACTAATTAAATGCTTAAAACATATCGATATAATTACCCTACCATACCTTAATAATCTTAATAATATAATTATATGTATAATCATATGCAATCACAATATTGACCAGAATATTTCTGTATCTAATATGATTCTGTACTATAAGAACTAACACAAAACTCATAGAAGAATTAAATATAAAATCAGAACATGATTTTATAAAGTTATCTGCTCTTGCAATAATGGCCTCTTTTTTATTTTGTTGATAAACCTCTTAAAATGTGGGAATGTTAAAACCAGGTATGGGTTAGAGTTACTTTTTTTATGCAATTATAGTTAGTAGCTAATATAAATGTCAAGAATACAATTTATGCAGCATATGAATATGTGTACCTAGCTTTAACAGATTTCTAAAATAGAAATTTATAGATAAATGTAAATTTTAAGCACAAAAAATGTAATAATACTAAAAAAAGATAAAGCTACTCTAAAAGCTATTAGAAAAATATGAAAATTTATAATAAGTTTGACTTTAATTTTACATAAAAGAAAAATATATAAAAAATACTAGCTAGTCTAAATAAATAAAGTAAAAGAAAACACTAGATGAATACTTCTCATTCAAAGCCTTTAGCTCTAATTCTTTAATTCTCATAGCATAAATATAGAATAAGATAGAAAGTTTATAAATATATGCATACTAATAAAAATAACTTGACTTTGAATAATTTGCTGCTTGATAATATTCTCTTTAATAAGTTGTCTTCTTTTTGTTCTAACTTTGTAACCTTTCATTAATTGTAAATCATCGATTTGGTAGCAGTAATATTATTATTATAAATATTATTTTTTTTAAAAAAACAATTAAATGTCAACTAAACCTAAACAAATACAAACTGCAATTAGTGATGATTTTAAACAGCAAATTTGTGAATTTGCAATTAAAAACTCACACTATAACCATGCACAAATTACAGAATATTTTAATCAAAATTTTTAATTAAATATTTATTATACAACTATTTCTAAGATTATTAATGAGAAAGATAAATGGCTAGTAGCAGTTTCTAATGAATTAGCAAAAAAATAAGTTTCATCACCATTCTCCAAAATTTCCATTACTTGAGAAAGCTATGAGCTTATGAATTAAAAGTACAATTATAGCTAAAATTCCAATTAGTGAAATATTAGTCAAAGAGAAAGCAAAATTTTTTATGAAAACTTTTAATATAGAAGAGTCTGATTTAAAATTGTCAAATGGTTGGATTGAAAAATTCAAATATTATAATAATCTTCATGTTTATCATTTATATGAAAAGACTGAAAGTGCTCTCTTAGATACTTTATTTGAAGAAAGACAAAAATTGAATAATCTTCTTAGCTAATATATGCTTGACCAAATTTATAATGCAGATAAAACTGCTTTATATTATCATATACAACCAAACCAAACTTTGTCATTAGCTCCAATTTATAGTCAAAAAAAGGTATATAATATATATATATCATACTTTAGATTGGAATCTGCCTGATTCAGAATTGGGCCATTCTGATTCTATATTAGGACAGCCAAATTCTGAATCAGGCAGATTCCAAATCTAAGTACAACATATATTTAGTGGAATAATATGTATACCTCCTTAGTATATAATATTTAATATGTAATTTCAGAGATTTTTTATTATTAATAACTAATAAAATCTCTAAAATCACAAGTATAGCATTCTTTAAACTGTTAATTTAACTCAAATATTTTATAATATAAACTATAATTCAATATAGTTTAATAACTTAATTACAGATCAATTATAAAATTTTAAGGCAAATTTGTCTGAAAAATAGTTTAAAAGATAGTATTTACTTTATTATATTATATATAACTTTTATAAATATAATTTTTTTTTTATTTTCTAAGTGCACATTATTAGTTAGCTCTTATAGAATGCATTTAAAGAGGTTTAATTGTAATAAAAATTTTAGATTGATCAGTTATAATTTTATTGTATTTTTAAGATAAAGCAAGAATTACAGTTTTACTCAGCACTAATGCTACAGAAATACACTATTTTTAACTATAGGTAATTGGTAAATTTCTATGACTATGATGCTTTAAATGTGTTAACTTAAATTCTCTTCCTGTTGTGTATTGCACAAATGAGAAAGCATAGATGCATAGTGATATATTTAATGAGTGGCTCTAGCAATTAGATTACTATTTTTGAATTAATAGCAAAAAAATTATCTTACTAATTGATAATACTGCTTCATACTTTGATCTGAATAAAGAAGAACATACTGACCAAGATCATGCAAATTCTGATTCTGAAGAAAAACTTGAATTAAATATTATTGTAAGTTCATCCTCTAAGGCATCTTCTAAGGTATTCTCTAAGACACCTTTCAAAAAACATGTATCAAATAAAAAACAAAAAACACATGAAAAACATAATCATCAAAATATAATATATTTAGATCTGATTAATATTAAGGTTATATTTTTATCTCCAAATACAACAGCTCATCTGCAACTAATGGATGCAGGTATTATTAAGAGTTTTAAAAGCCACTACAAGGCTTTTTATTGTTGTTATCTCTTAATGCTATATGAGGCTAGCAAAAATATTAATGAGTAAGTGCCTTTTTTTAAATATGCTTTTAACTAACATATATGCAGCACTCTGAATAGTTAGATCAAGCTATAGATTAATTAATGCTATCAGTTAAAAATAAATTCACTGATGAGTACCACAAAATATTGAAAGATTTATTCAAGTAACTATGACATTCTTTCCTTAGGTTTTTAAAATTATATTTTTATACTAATCTCCTATAAGATTATTTACTATAGCTTGTAATTTAAAGATTATTCCTAAAAATTATCTAATATTGTTATAACTGAAGTTAAGATCTGCCTGAAGTTGGAACTTTAGTTAACTAAAGTATGTACCTGCCTAAAACAGCTAACTAATGTATGCAGAATGTTCTTATTTCAGAGCTAATTTCAGTCAAGCACAACTTCAGTCAACTAAAGTTCCAACTTCAGGCAGATCCTAACTTTAGTCATAACACTTGTATTTGTAGATTTTTAATCAACAGCTTGGCCAAATCTATAAAATATTTGGAGTATTACTAATTTTTTTTTTTTTTTAAAAAAAAAAGAAACAAGCTAACTATCAAACAAGCTATTGATTATTTTGCAGATTCATAGAATGCTGTTAATGAAAATGAAATTATTAACTGTTGGAAAAAAACTGTGATTCTTTCTAGTATTGATGATAATAAAGTTATTTATGCTACAAATGTTCAAAATAAAGCAAGTTTATTCAATAATAATGAGCTTGATAAGCTTTTAAATGAATTGTCTATAGAAGATAACCATACCACCACTCTTAGTTCTGCAATAGTTGATTATTTTAATGATATTGATCAAACTATTGTAACTGAAGAAGCATTGACAGACCAACAAATAGTTACTCTTATTTAAAATGAAGAACCATTCAAAGTGCCTATTCAAGAAGCACATAATGCATTAAAAACATGGATAACTTTCTTTGAACAACAACAATCTTCAAATTTTAATATGAATAATATAAAAATATTTAAAAAATATGATAAAATGGTGAATAGAATATTGTTAAATTTATAAAAACAAAGTTCTATTACTGATTATTTTCAGAAATTTTAAATATTTCATATATTATAAATAAAATAAATATATTTATATTATTTTTACTATTTTATATATAGTTTAAGGTTTTGCTAAATCACACTAATAGTGTTAAATACTACAGTTGCTATATATTTTAAAAATTGTCTAGGCAACTAAGTAAAAATGTTTAGTGCAGTGTTAAAATTTATTGTGCACATATTGCTATTTTTACAAAATTAACAATATGTAGTACAAAATAATTAACTTAAATTTCAAAATTAAATTTATATGTATAATATTTATTTTTTTTTTTTAAATATTAGCGGTGAGGCCATGCCTTTAACTTTATTGAAATTCAATTGAAGTTTTTACAAAGAAA